TTTCCTATGAAAATAAATATTCCTGCTTTGTATATATATATATATATTCAAATTATGTCATTAAATTAATTAAAAATTTCAAAAAGTTATAAAATTGAAATCGGAAATCACGAAAATGGATTTTAAGGGAGTTTGGATCTTTAAATCGTGAGCGTAGTTTCTAACATAGAGCTCATTAAGCGAGATGAAAATACAATTGAAAAAAAAATGGATGGAAACGAAAAGAAGAGAGGAACGGGAGAGAAATATAGAATCGAAAAATGAAACGAGAGAGAGAGAGAGAGAAATATTTTAGAAAGGGAAGAGAGGAACTTTTATGCGGATGAGAGTGAGGGGTTCATGATAAAGACTTTCGAAAGAGTTGGTCCCTTATCTACAAAGTACGACATCCGCCGGATCAGCCTCAGATAACTGAAACCGCCTACACTTCCTTCTTTGGACGTTTAGACTCTAAATTCCAGGATCGAAACAAAGCCTCATTTACGTCCGGTTAACCGTGAAAATATACATATATATACAATTTTTTTACTATATACATATATATATAAATGCTCACTAATCTTTCACGCTTCCATATGGTTCTTATAATTGGCACTGATTTATTGCATATTTGATAACGAAAAACTTCCGTTTCTCAAGTTCAACGAGCTCAACAAAAATAAAAGCTATTATATATATATTTCTGATTCTTTACGTATATAGCGTACAATTTCTTATCCCTTATGTTTTTTTTTTTTAAAGAAATATGTAAAAAAAATTCAACGTGAAAAATTAATTTCTGTGTTTACAAACAAAAATAATAATCAATGGCCACTTTTAGTCATAACGTTATATAATTTATTTTTTAAATGCCAATTTGAGAGCCAAATCGTATTGGCCTCGTACTATTCTATTTAGTACGAGTTAGTAAGTTAGTAGAATTAAATACTAATATGGTTCCAGGTGAAAAAAAATTTTTTATCTATATTTTTCGATGTTAATTTTTTTTTTTTGCGTCATAGTGAAGCCTAAATTATTTCATAAAAATCAAAACAAAACTTTGTTATATTTTAGCAGAAGTAATATAATTAACTTCCCCAAGTAGATTATTACATTACATTACATTACATTTTGAATTTTTGAAATCTGACTTTAGATTCGTAATCAGCGACCCTCAAAACCCCTGAGTAATAATTTTTAAGTATTTTTAAATCATTTTTGCCATTTTTTGAAAAATTGTCCGCCATATTGGCTCGGCCATTTTGAATTTTTGAAATCTGACTTTAGATTCGTAATCAGCGACCCCAAAAACCCCCGAGTAACAATTTTTAAGTATTTTTAAATCATTTTTGACATTTTTTGAAAAATCGTCCGCCATATTGGCTCCGCCATTTTAAAATTTTAAAATCTGACTTTGGAATCGTAATCAGCGACCTTAAATACCATAGTATACACATTTGCACAAATTTTGGTCATTCAAAAATTTACTGACATTTTGGGCCCACTTATGAGATTTTGGCCTCGACTGCGAAGGGGTTAAATAAAGTGTAATTGCATTAATTTGGCAAGAATAAATGCCGTGAATACGAATCAGATTAAAAATCAGAATCTAACAGAATTGTCATGGTGAAGCCTTCACATATTTTATAATTTTCTCTGTTAAATAAAGTGTATATGTAAATAAAGTGTTGATATATTGTTTAAAAAATCAGTAATGGTTGTGCGTCATGGTAAAGCCTTTTTCAGTAAAACGCGTATTTTATTGATAAAAATTATATGGTAATAATAAAATTACATTATTTATAAAAATATTTGAATTAATCGATTTTTCCGAGACACACTATTCAATTTTATAAGTAAAAAGAAAAATTGGAATATAAGAATTCCTTTTTGTTATATATAAAAAGGAAATAAAAGAAAAAACATATTTTTTGATACCCTTCAAAGACGAAGTGATAATGGATTCATTCGACGGAAGCGAGAAAGAGAATTAAAGGGAGAAAGAAATCAGAGTTTACTAAGTGAGAAAAAGATTATTTTTTTTTATTCGCGCATTGAAAACGATTTTTTTTTTTTTATATATCTTGTGAGGGTTATTTTTTTTTATCTCGTGTTCTCCAGTGAATTATATGGAAAGTTAAGCCGCACATAAGGTGTGAGCATAACATTCATTTAAAAGCTTAAATAGTTTGTTTACAAGCTCGTAACTTGAAAATGGAGGGAAGAATGTAGGCGAATGGATGGGATTTAATTTTCTAAGGTTTCTTTCTTGACTTACTCTTTTATATATATACATATACAAAAAGCCCTTGATCGAAATCTAATCATAAAAACATATTCCATTTAATCAAAAATTTGAAAATATTTTTTTTTTTGAAATTAAAAAGAGGAAGTCGAAAAAAATAGTTGATTACTTATTTAAGAGGAATTTCGTAAATTTTAGCATTTAGGGTAAATATTTATTTATCCTAAATTTTGAATAATCTTCTACAATGAGCCGGCGATGTTGCATAAATCTTCTCTCTGTTAAACACGTGTGCACTAATTAACCTAATTTTTATTTTCCTCAAGATAAGATTTCTGACAAAAGTTTAAATAAATCTCATTCTCTCTCTCTCTCTCAAAAAAAGAGGCTATCAACTGCAATTTCTTTTTAATTGTTGATTAAGAAACGTTGCAAAACATTTGTTAATTATTAATTAATAATTAATTGGAATAATTTTTTTTTTTATAAAAAGAACTTTCACTTGATATTGAGAATTAAAGATGGAAAAAAAAGTGTAACGACGATAATTCGCCAAGTTTTTTTTTTTTATAATCTCCAACTTTTTAAAGACATTTCTCATTTCTGGTGTTGGTCTGACTTGGACTATCAGACTTCCGTTATCATTGCCGGGTTCCGCGTGACGGAAACGTCAAGTCGCATCGTCTTTGACAGTACCCATTGAAAGATAAGCTCCACCAGAGGACACCCTCCAGAGGACTTAAAATCTCTCCCTTTTTGTATATATATATAAGGCAAACTCGATTTCTTATTATTTTGACCAGAGATTCCCCTTTTTAGAAACGTCATTCTTTTTTCTTTTTGTTAACCTCTTTATTAATTGTTCTTACATTTTTTTTAATTCATTTTTTTTCCAAAATTGAAATTTTATGCATACTGAAACTAATTCGAGAGGTAAAGAAAGAAAATTGAAAATTTGTACCAAATTTCAGTTCTCTGGGTCAAAATGGTTTTGTTTTATGTTAGGATTATAAATCGGTGTAAACAAAAGTTTCTTTTGCTATTATTACCTTTGTGAAACCGAAACCAAAATGAAAATATTTCTTTCTTTTTAGCTTTTTTATTGGTAAAAGTAGAACATTGCAAATTTGTACCAAATTTCCGCTCTCTAGGTCAAAATGACTCTGTTTTATATAGTGAATATAAATTGGTGCAAAAAAAGTTATTTTTGCTAAGAAACCTAGAAATCAAAATTATTTTTAACTTTTTTGTTGATAAATATAGAAAAGTGCCAATTTTCAGCTCTCTAGGTCAAAATGGCCCTGTTTTATTTACGAAACAAATCAATGCAAAAAAAGTTCCTTTTTCTATTACGTTCATGAAATCAGATACCTAAAATTCCTGTCTCTTCATTTCAGATGAATATAATTTATTTCAAAAAATTTATTACAATAAAAAGATAATTAACAACTTTTCTGTTTGATAAAATTCTATTGAATGAAAATTTTCATTTACTTTTTCATAGCCAATAAAATTTATTTATTGATGCAAAAAATGATAATTAATATAATATATTTTTTTGTTGAAATTAATAATATATGCTTTTTGAGGGCAATAAAATATGCAATTTAATCTCAAAGGTAGATTGAGACATTACTAATAAACGTAGTTGTAGATATAAAGGGAGTTGAACGAGCAAATCCTTCGATGTAAAAGCCCACCTTAAACCAGCTGATCCTGACACAAAGACGGCGGCAGAGCAAGACCCTTTAATGAAAACTATACGTCCCTGGATTAAAGTGGCCACTGGTCAGCCCATGGAAACCAACTACCCGATACGAGAGAGAGAGAGAGATAGAGCTTGTCTTATGCAACCTGCTGACTAACCTATATATATATATACATACAGTTAGGCACTCTATATGGTCGTCGAGCGTATTAGATGGAAGTTTGGGCATTAATACCTAATAACATGACCACGTCGGTAAATCCTTTGTTGGCCATCTTGGTCCAGACTTAACACCTTCAGTTCATGGATACTGCGAAGACGGTGATCTGGACCGAGAAGAGATCGTAGAATTGATCCCCTTCACTTCTAATTAACAGTTTAATTTAAATTTTGTCAAGTTTTCAAAAATTAAAATCTCACAGAAGAGATTTTTTTTTTATATGTCAATTAATATCTTAAGATTAAAATCCAGGGTAAGACGCTTTTGGATTGGCACAAGTGGAGAAATGTCCTTTGACAGTGGTAAAGTGAATTCCCGTCTCTCTCTCATTTACTCTTTCACCACGTGTGCCTTCTCTTTGGTACTATGGGTTTTCAGAGAGGTCTGGGATTACACGCTGAAGTGGGATAGAATCAGAGACTTAAGTCAGGGTTAAACAAGGATCGTCGCTATTGTACCGCGAACCGAGGTTCCATTGTCTCTGGATAGACGAGTGGATCTGCATATGCTTAGCGCGGGGAACACTTGGGACACAATCTTCAACCCTCTATTTTCCACCTTCGCTTTTCACATGCCACATTTAGATTCTACCTTTTATAATTCAACCCCTTTTTGCGCATTTATCCGCCAATACTTGATTTTAATTCCTCAACCTTGGCTTTTACTTTATTGTTAGCTTCGGATTATGGATTATTTTAATATCTACAAAGAACCTTGACTTCTTATATTTCAAGGTTTTGATTATTAACAAAAGAAATAGTAAATAAACTCATTGTTTTATTAAACTATTTTTACCAAAAAAAACAAAGGAGATTTATTTGTAATGAGGATTTCTTTATTGATTTCAGTTAAAAGTCTTCCAGTTCATTGTGTCGTTGAAGCGATTCACAGTATTGTGGAAAGTCGCGCGACTTCTCGTGACAATTGGAGGAGGCCTCATGTTGAAAAAGACACCTATGTTTTTATTCCAGCCGTGATGCCATTTCAGGTGAGTTTTAAATTGTTAACATTAGAATTTGTTATTTAGAAGTTGAGACTAATTATTACCGTTAGAAAATAAACGAAATTCTGATACCACTTCTTACAACCAATGCTTCAAGAAATTTTGAACATTTGTAACTGATGCTACTGGTAACTGATTCTTGAAGTAGTACTGTTCAAGTTTCTTTAAATAGTTCTGTAAATGATACACAGCAAATTCTGAAAGTACTGGAAGCAATTCCAATAATACTTTAACAAATTCTAAAAGTGGTTTTGAAACTGATACCACTTCAAATCCTCAAAAAAAAAAACTTGAAACTGATGCTACATTTAAACCTCTACAAAATCCTTAAACTAATCCTTAACTAAATCCTACATCTAGTACTAGAAGAAATTCCATAATTGGAATTTTAACAAATTCTTGAAATACTCCTAAAACTGATGATAGTTCAAATCTTCTAAAATATCCTAAAGCTACACCAAATCCTCTACAAAGTTTTAATAGTAATGCTACATAAAATTTTCTACAATATCCTAAAATTAATGCTACATCAAGTTCTCTAAATGATTCTGGAATTGATGTTTCATTAAGTTCTAAAAGTAGTTCAGAAACAACAACAAGTCCATTAAGTATTCCTGAAACTGATGCCAGTTCAAATCTACAAAGAAGTCCTGAAACTTTAAAAAATCCTGAAACTAATGCTGCAGCAAATCCTCTAAAAAATCCTAAAACTAATGCTACATCAAAACCTCTAAAAACTCCTAAAATTAATGCTACATCAAGACCTCTAATTAGTCCTAAAATTGTTGCTTTAACGAGTTCTAAAAGTAATTCAAAAGCAATAACAAGTCCACAGAGTATTTTTGCAATTGATGCTTCCTTAAATCCTGTAATTGACGCTTCATAAATTTCTTGAAGTACTCCTAAAAATTGTTAAACACTATTTTTTTGAATTGTTGAATTATCTACAAATACTCGTTTCAGTACTTAAATTCGAATTCCGTGAACGTTACTTATAAATAACTTTCTGTTCATTAAAAATTAACAATCAATTTAATATATTAAAATTCAGTAAAAATTTTTACCTGAATAAAAAAAAAATGTTTGTCTTATTTCAGGATCTAGTTGGTGAAACATTGGTGCGATTAGGTTACTCAAATGATCTCATTCTTAGTGCTCGTGGGAGTATTGTGATAAGAAATTGGAAGCCATTGCCCACTGAAAAAGTGGCCGAAGGTCCACTTTTAACAGTAGGTGATATTTTGGCAGAATTAATTCACCTGACTACCCTCAAGATTCAGGTCTACAGATCAAGACCACCACCTCCTAGTCCAGCAACTGAGGTCAGAGATAAACTTCTAAGGTTTCTCCTACTTCACAGCCACGCATTTCTAGTCGGATGTCCTCTCGATGAGGTAATATTTTTTCGAAATTATTCTGTCCCCCATAAAATTCTTCAATTTTTCAAAAAAAGGTTTATTATTATTTTTTATTATTAAGAATTTATTATTATATAAATTTATTATTATATTATCATATTAAATAATTGATTAATAAAAAACAAGAATTTAAAACATTTTTTTTTTTGGTCTTTTAAAAGTCTTTAATTCCTGATGAATAAATGGGAAGCTTGTCAGAGTGAAACGGAAGTAGAGAATGTTGCGGTTAGACAACCGCTTAAAAATGTATAAAATGTAAATCTAGCCAGAGAGTGTTTGTCGCCAGGACACCTAATCTCATTAAGAAGTCCTCCGGCTGGTCTCTCTGCTTGCCTCTTCTACTTCTCCAAGAGACGCGCCACTGGTAATCTTCAGCGGAAGCTCGCTTGCGGTCTCTTGATCCCCACCTTAAATAAATGCTTTCTCGGTTTTTGACTCCACCAGCCAAAAAGCCCTCACTCCTTTTTCTACTTCTGACAAGTCAAACAAATTTCTTCATTCCCTTGAAATTAAACAGATTTAATTAAATACCCAAAAAAAACATATTTAAAAAAAATTATCAATTTCCCACAATTTTTTTGTAAAACAGTATTTGCTTATCCAATTATAATTCTAGGTATCACATTTTCCTTCAATTAAGACATTTTATGCGTGATATATAAAAATGTCTTGACAAAATTTAGTTAATGATAAGAAAGAGATTAAATTTTCCGAGGCCGTGAGTATAGATATAGAGAGAGAGATTTACATAAGACGTTTAAATGAACTATATATACATTTTCGAAAAGTGGATTGAGAGTGATGAGGCAAATGAAGAGACAGAGAGAGAGAGAGAATGTTATATATGTGTATATAAGAGCATTTGAATCCATGTAAGTAATGTGAATACAGAAAGCATCCTAGTGAGGTTGGTACTTCCTTCGACTATCTATAGTCAAAACGAAGATCTCATAGCCGTAGCGTATGATAGGATTACCCTTTACTCAACCGAATTCGCAGCCTTCATCAAAAGCCCCCTTTCGATATCGTGGAGGGGGGAGGGGGAGGCAGAGAGGGAGCCACCCCGGGCCAGGCATTATCTAAGTGCACTCTCTTTGAAGATCCAACGTCTCCACCCAGCGAACTTTAATGCCGTTCACGTTGGTCTATGATTACCAATTTTCTCTTGGTAGACGTTATACCCATCCAAATTCATCGGAGATGACTTCAGCTAATGGTAAATGATTGACGTGAATGAAGACTCCACGGGGCTACAAAAGTCCGTATCGAATTTGAAATTGTTTTTTATTAACTATTCTTTAATTTAAAATTTTTTTGTTTTCAAATTAGCGCGCTATTTTAGCAAATGTTATAAACAGTTGGCAAGCATGTACAGCTTCTGTTAGTTCAAGAATCCATAAAAATACTGAATTTGTTATTTGAGAAAAGAATATTCCAATTGCAACAGATTTTAGTTAATGCAACTCTTCTTTGTAGCTGCAGCAAAAATTTTGGTTTTATTAGATTTTAGTTGGCATAACAACACAACCAAAAATAAAGGAAGCAAAGTTTGGTTATGCCAACTAAAATCTGGTAAAATCAAAATTTTCTTGAAGCTACAAGAAAATTGCATTAACCAAAATTTTTTCACAGAAAAAACGATGCGATAAATTTTGTTCTGGGTTTTAACCAATGTTATTTTTCATAAACAGTGGCGTCCTAAACTAGAATAAAATTTATTGTAGTTAATTTTTATACACCACCGTTTATGAAAATCGACATTGGTTAGAACCCAAAAACAAAATTTTTCCAGCGTTTTTTTTTCTGCAAAACATTTTGGTTTATGAATTTCTGTGTAGCTTCAACAAAAATTTTGGTTTTACCAATCAGATTATAATTGGTATTTGGTTGTGTTAAACAAAATTGTTATGCTAATTAAAATCTAGTAAAACCAAAATTTTGGTGCAGGTACAAAGAAAGAGTTGCATTAATCAAAATCTGTTTCAAATCGAACCTTTTTCTCTTAAATAACAAATTCAGTATTTTTAGAATTTACTAATTTTTATGGATTCTTGAGCTAACAGAAGCTGCACATGCTTGCCAACTAATAACAGAATTGCTAAAATAGCTGTAAATTCATAACAGAAAATTGAAATGTTTAAAATTAAAAAATTAACCACTTTTATATTAAATAAAATTTATTTAAAATCAGATAATTAAGAATCTCGTTCAAAAAAATATTTCAAAGTCAACACCAAACAATATATATATATCTTTTTCTACGAAAACGTTGCATCATTTTCCGGTGCAATAAAACCCTTTTTGAGATTAGAATATCTAAAAAATTAGTTTACTTCCTAAAAAAACCATTTTTTTGTATTTAGATATACTGTTCTCTGTTTTTTCCACATTCTTGATATGCGCGATACGGAAACCTGTTTAAATTAGATTTTAATGAGAATGATTTATAAGTTCATGGGAGATCTCTGTCGACAGCTACGTCACGGACAATCTTTAAAGAATAAATATACGTGTAAATCAGGCTTAACCAGTCTTTCAGATAAGCTGGTTGTTACGACTCATTTTGACGCCTGTTTGTGTGTTTGCTAAATGATTTCTAAAATCTAGCTGATGTCTGTCAACTGTTCTTTGAATGATTAAGGAGAGGGTTGTAAAACTTGCCTCACATTCTTTTTTTTTAAAAAAAAAACTCAAGGGTCTTTTTGTATAAACGCTACCGCTCATATTAACTTCATTAATTGACGTCATCCTTGATCCTTCTATAGAATGTTTGTTTCTTATAAATCATATCGATAAGACACTCCTACTCTATTTCTTTTTATTTTCAACATTTCCATAATCTTAAAACCTTGTCTTTTCATCTTGTGACTAAGCGTCTTATTAAATTTTGTTTTTTTTTTCGTTTTTAATTACAAGATTAAAATTTAATTAGAGATTAAAATCTTAATTTTCTAAACTTACAAAATTTAAAGAAATGAATAAAATTTTCTGTTCTAGTTAACATTAGCTTCACTTTGTAGAGGTGGTAATGATATTACAGAAGAGACGAGAAGAAATTTTGAAACTTGGTTGCATCAGCAGCATATGGCTTTTGGAATGAATCATCTAATTCCGCAGACAAATCATCAAACCCAAAGTCCACAACCCGATGGAACGGGTCCAATGGGTGCAACAAGTCACATTGGTCATCCAACACATCCTGGTCTTCTACCCTATTCACATAAAACAAGAATGCGAACGAGTTTCGATCCAGAACTCGAATTACCAAGACTGCAACGTTGGTTTAGTGAAAATCAACATCCAACACGTTCACAAATTCAACATTACGTCACCGAATTAAATTCCCTGGAATCGAGACGTGGACGAAAACCATTGGACGTTCATAATGTTGTTTATTGGTTCAAAAATGCTCGAGCTGCCCAAAAGAGAGCCGAAACAAGAGGCGTTAACGGTTACAGTCCACCTGGTCTCAGTCCAAGAGGCGCTAGTATGATTAGCGAAGATTGCTCCGACGATGAGGAGGATTCTAGGCACCAGGTGAAAAATTATTTTGAAATTTAAAAAATTTTGAAATGTGAAAATTTTGAAAATTTGTTTTTTTTTTGGTTCTCAGTCGGCATCTCCGTATCCACCAGGAAGTCCTCCAGTGGGACCATTGTCATTAACAACACGACCTGAGGATCAACAATCATCATTGACACCATCGTCAGTGAAGCAGGAGGATGGAAGAGCGTCTTCCGGTTCTGAAGATGATGAAACTAGTCCAACTGATCCATTACCACCAGGATTTCCCTTATTACCAAGTCCGATGTTCAGTCAAAGTGTCATGTACATGTCACATTATCTCACACCACGTGGACCACCGGGATGTCCAACGAATTTATTAGACGAGAGAAGAAAACGTAACCGGACATTCATTGATCCCGTCACGGAAGTTCCAAAACTCGAGACATGGTTCACACACAATACTCATCCCAGTCATGCGGTAATTATTTATCACTGGATCATTTTATTTTTTGATTATCTCGTTAATTTATTTATTTTAACTGATTTATTTTATCTAATTTAACTAATTTACCTAATTTTTCTAATTTATCTAATTAATTCTTTTTTTTTATCTAATTAACAAATTTTGTAAATCATTTTTACACATTTTTGTAATCAAATTACATGACCTTAGATTTTTTTTTGTAAATCCAATTGATTTTTAAAAAAATTTCCACCATATTGGATCCGCCATTTTGAATTATTAAATCCTACAATCAGATTATTTATTCAAATTTAATTAATTAATCAATTTTGCGTAATTTTTACGATTTCTATTATCGCTTTACATGACGTTAAATATTTGTTATAGTAAATTCAGAGGATTCTTAAAAAATTTCCGCCATATTGGATCCGACATTTTGAAATTTTAAAAATAAAAAGAGGAATATTTTTTATCCAAATTTAACTAATAAAAAAATTCCTTAATAATTTATACAATTTTTATAAAACCTTTTTTTTAAAACCAATTTTTATAACCTTTGTTATTTTTCTGCTAGTATCCTAATTAATCTAACATCAGTTTTTCAAAATTCAAAATGGCGGATCCAATATGGCGGACGACAAAATTAAAAATTGATCGGATTCGCTTGAAACTTGTTACTTGGGGGTTTTCGGGGTCGCTGATTACGAATTTGACATTAGTTTTTCAAAATTCAAAATGGCGTATCCAATATGGCGAACAAAATTTCAAAATCAATATGTTTCGCTTGAAACTTGTTACACGGGAGTTTTCGGGGTCGCTGATTGTGAATCTGACATTAGTTTTTGAAAATTCAAAATGGAGGATCCAATATGGCGGACTACAAAATGAAAAATTGATCGAATTCGCTTGAAACTTGTTACTCAGGGGTTTTCGAGGTCGCTGAATACGAAACTGACATCAGTTTTTCAAAATTCAAAATGGCGGATCCAATATGGCGGACGACAAAATTAAAAATTGATCGGATTCGCTTGAAACTTGTTCCTTGGGGGTTTTCGGGGTCGCTGATTACGAATTTGACATTAGTTTTTCAAAATTCAAAATGGCGTATCCAATATGGCGAACAAAATTTCAAAATCAATATGTTTCGCTTGAAACTTGTTACACGGGAGTTTTCGGGGTCGCTGATTGTGAATCTGACATTAGTTTTTGAAAATTCAAAATGGAGGATCCAATATGGCGGACTACAAAATGAAAAATTGATCGAATTCGCTTGAAACTTGTTACATGGGAGTGTTCGGGGTCGCTGATTGTGAATCTGACATTAGTTTTTGAAAATTCAAAATGGAGGATCCAATATGGCGGACTACAAAATGAAAAATTGATCGAATTCGCTTGAAACTTGTTACTCGGGGGTTTTCGAGGTCGCTGAATACGAATCTGACATCAGTTTTTAAAAATTCAAAATGGCGGATCCAATATGGCGGCGACAAAATTAAAAATTGTTCAGATTCACATGAAACTTGTTATTTAGGGGTTTTCGGGGTCACTGATTATGAATCTGACATTATCTTTTCAAAATTAAAAAGGGTGGATCCAATATGGCGGCGACAAAATTAAAAATTGATCGAATTCGCTTGAAACTTGTTACTCGGGGGTTTTCGAGGTCGCTGATTATGAATCTGACATTATCTTTTCAACATTCAAAATTGCGGATTCAATATGGAGGCGTCAAAAATTAAAAATTGATCGGATTCGCTTGAAACTTGTTACTCGAGGGTTTTTTGAGGCCATATTGAATTTTAAAAATTCCAAAGGGTTAATTAATTAATTTATTTATTTATTTACATAATGCTAATTTTTAATTTTCAATTTTTTTTTTTGAAAATTAACAAAAATATTCTTCATCTGATTACAGTTGATATTGAAGTACACGGAGGAATTAAATAGAATGCCATATCGGCAAAAGTTTCCACGATTGGAAACAAAAAATGTGCAATTTTGGTTTAAGAATCGTCGTGCCAAATGTAAGCGTTTAAAAATGGCACTTTTCGATGGAGAGTCACCACAGCCTCATCCCTATCATGCAGAGTAGATTGCTCATATCCTGTGTAAATAACATATTCAAATACACAGATGATATATATACATTCGTAATAAATTTACAATCTCAGACCAAAAAAAAATAAAAACTACACACGCACTCATAATTAAAAAAAACAAAAAATTGAAAAACTACATAGAAAATATGTATTATGATATACATAAACGTGATTAAACTCAGCATTATATTATAGACAAGCGATATATATAAAAAAAAAAAAACAATTACACAGTAAAAATTATAAAAAAAAATACGCTTGTTAATTCATATTCCACGTTGATTATTCATAAAAGTCTGTGTAATTATTTATTCTTAAGTAGTAATATATTTTACTTTTATGTTTTACAATAAATGTAAATACGAAAATGATGTCCAATAAACTGTACGCCACTGTAGAGACTATTATTCAATTATTGTTATTTAATAACCTTCTTCTTATATGAGGATTATATATAGTAATTTATGTTTGTTCTCCACAAAATTTTTGTTGTTTCTATTCTATTATGTATTGTAATAAAAACAAAAAAATATTACTTCTTTGAAAAATTATAATAAAAAAAATAATTGAAAAATTATAATTTTTATATTTTCCTTTCCTTTTTTTAAATTAAATTTTTTGAAATGAAAATTTTTAAAATCTTATATTCAAATATTAATTTTATTCATCAATTTTTGGTTATTAATAAAGAAAAAAATTGAATTAACCTTCTTTTTCTTTATAATTCGTGTGATACGATTTTCGCATATCTGGGAGAATATTGCGGATGTTACAAGAGACAAGAGGATGGTATCTCCAGCAATGTGAAAAGAAAGGGTAGGTATATGTGAAACTGTTGTATAACACAATGAATCAAACGTTCATATTGAACCTAGAATATGATTTCTAAACATTGCATTCTCTCTATTTGCGTATATATATAATGTTTCGAGAAAATCATATAATGCGCCTCTCTCTCGTCCCTCTTAAAATCTATCTACTATAAGATAAGGCATTGGAACTGTCACAAAGCAAAACCCAGCTCAAAATTCTACAATGGTCATTGGATTTCTAAACACTGAAATTCTCATTGTTTTCTATCCTAAAACTGTTAAATTTATAAAAAAAAAAACAAATTTTCACACAATTTTTTACTAATAATAATAAAATAATAAAAAAATAAATAATTAAAATAATAAAATAAAAACAAAAATAATTAAAATATAATAAAAAATATTCTTTATAAATGGAAAAAAAATAATTTTCCTTTAAAAATTTATATAGAGAAAAAAAAAATTTAAATAATACATATACTAAGGGTTAATAAAAAAAGAAAAGGAAATAACTCATGATGACAGAGAGATATGATTTTTTTTTCTTTTCATCGCAAATTCTTAAGATGATATTTTATGTCGATTTACGAAGAAGTTTCTTGGTTAAATTAAGCCGATGTCTTTTGACAAATTAAGATCAGATAAAGGGATGATCCTCGTGGTTGCTGACTTTTAGATTTTTATAAAGCTTCCCCCTCTACCCTCTATATACTATCATCTCACCCAAACCACTTTGCTGTCGGCTTCAGTCCGCGTTCAATTTTCTTATCCGACCCTCCAGGTTTTTCCTTCGACCTTTTTTTTTTTTTCTTATTCGTGAATAATTCCTATTATTTTAAGATTAAATTTCGAAAAATTTATTTACCCTCAAAAAAATTAATTTGGATAAAAAAAAGAATTATAAAATTATAAATTTAATTTTAAAGTATAATTATTAATTATAATTATAAATTAAAATTATAAATTATAATTATAAAATTATTAATGGAAAAAAGAAATAATAAATTGTTAATAAAGATAAAAGAAAAATGGAATTTAATGGAAAGCTGAAAGTTTATATAAGAGAGAGAGAGAGAGAGAGAGAGAGAGAGAGAGAGAGAGAGAGAGAGAGAGAGAGAGAGAGAGAGAGAGAGAGAGAGAGAGAGAGAGAGAGAGAGAGAGAGAGAGAGAGAGAGAGAGAGAGAGAGAGAGAGAGAGAGAGAGAGAGAGAGAGAGAGAGAGAGAGAGAGAGAGAGAGAGAGAGAGAGAGAGAGAGAGAGAGAGAGAGAGAGAGAGAGAGAGAGAGAGAGAGAGAGAGAGAGAGAGAGAGAGAGAGAGAGAGAGAGAGAGAGAGAGAGAGAGAGAGAGAGAGAGAGAGAGAGAGAGAGAGAGAGAGAGAGAGAGAGAGAGAGAGAGAGAGAGAGAGAGAGAGAGAATTGATGATGTGTGTTATTGAGAAACGATAACGGGAAGGGATAAACATTTGTGAGGAATGAGGATAAGAAGGGACTGTGGCGCAGTATTAAGTGAACTCAAATTCGATGTTTTGCGAATGAACTGACTATAGGATGGATCCTTGTAAGACGTTTTAATTGGACAAATCCGCCTATCCTCATTAAATCCAGAAACTCTTGTTCCGCTTTTCTCTGTATGCGAACTATGCCCGTATCACCTTTCATCTTCGTGTTATTCCTACTTGTCCCGGAATTGTATAAATCCTGCGAGCTCTTTCCATCTTTCCTTTTTCTTCTTCTTCTTCTTCTTGCTTTTTCTTTCCAATTGGAGCGCCTTTTCCTCTTATATAATAATTCTATATTTATTATGCTCATAAAAAAAATGCTGCTAAACGATATTATATATTTTTTTTTGCAAAAGAAACAATTTTCACAAAATATTACAAAACGTATATAATTCTGTAAAAAAATACAAAGTAATTTTACAACGTCGCAATTTGGAAAAAAAAATTACCCCTAGGCTGTAGAAAAACATAACCTGTAATTTATTTTATAACCTAAAAGTAAAAAGAACCTTGTAAACAAAACCGAATGTAAATTAACCAACAAGTTACCCAAATTTTTAGGTTATGTAATTTAACATCTTTTAGTCAATTATATGGCTTTTAAAAAATTCTTTTATTAATATAGAGTCGGTTTTTACAGTTTAAATTTTTTATCCGCAAAAATTAAAGGAAATGTGCGTCTGCGCAGAATATTCGTCAATATTCGTAAATCTTCGTACACAAGAGTACGAATGTTCTGCGCAGACGCAAATTTATCCTGCTCCTTTAATCTGCGGGAAGATAAAATTTATTTCATTTTATTTATAATCATAATCTACGTTTTTCCCCAAAATAAGTAAAATAACAAAAATAAAAATAAATAATAAATAAATTACATAAATAAAGTTAAATTATAAATTCCAATAATGTAAATTGATCGAGATTATGTTAATTCATATGATGGCATTAGATATTTCTTTCAACACACAGTAAATCCATAGGATTCTTAAAAATATTCCGCCATATTGGATCCGCCATTTTGAATGATAAAAACCTCAAATGAAATTATTTATTTATCCAAATTTAACTAATTTTAAAAAATTCTTAAATATTTTTTCCCACAGGGGTTGCTGATTATGAATTTGACATCATATTTTCAAAATTCAAAATGGCGGACTACAAAATTAAAAATTGATCGGATTCGATTAAAATTTGTTACTTAGGGGTTTTCGGGGTCGCTGATTACGAATCTGACATCAGTTTTTCAAAATTCAAAATGGCGTATCCAATATGGCGAACAAAATTTAAAAATCAACATGTTTCGCTTGAAACTTGTTACACGGGAGTTTTCTGGGTCGCTGATTGTGAATCTGACATTATTTTTTGAAAATTCAACATGGAGGATCCAATATGGCGGACTACAAAATGAAAATTTGATCGAATTCGCTTGAAACTTGTTACTTGGGGGTTTTCGGGGTCACTGATTATGAATCTGACATTATCTTTTCAAAATTAAAAATGGTGGATCCAATATGGCGGCGACAAAATAAAAAATTGATCGAATTCGCTTGAAACTTGTTACTCGGGGGTTTTCGAGGTCGCTGAATACGAATCTGACATCAGTTTTTCATAATTCAAAATGGCGGATCCAATATGGCGGCGACAAAATTAAAAATTGTTCAGATTCACATGAAACTTGTTACTCGGGGGTTTTCGGGGTCACTGATTACGAATCTGTTGGTAGTTTTTCAAAATTCAAAATGACGGATTCAATATGGCGGAGTGAAAATCAAAAATTGATCGGCTTCGCTTGAAACTTGTTACTTAAGGGTTTTTGAGGTCGCTGATTATGAATCTTGCATCGGTTTCTCAAAGTTCAAAATGGCAAATACAATTTGACGGACGACAAAATTAAAAACTAATTGGATTCTTAAAATTCTTCCGCCATATTGGATCCGACATTTTAAATTATTAGAAACTTTGAGATTATTAGTTGAAATTTTAATTTAAAAAATCTTAAAAATCAAATAAAGAATTATTGGAACTTTTGTCCTCCAATCAATTAAACAGAAATTGGGGGCAATTTTTTTTTCATCTATTAATTATACAAGAGCATATAGAGTTTGGCGAGTTATGTTTGTCTATTCGATGATTGAAACTAACCTAGGAAACATTAGATATATATAAACACAACTAAAGGAGTGTGTATTGTATGCGCTTTGGCATTCAGGAGGACGTTCTTATCATCCTATCCGGAGAGCTGTCAGCAAAGTTCCTGAATAACAGTCGCGGAGAGCCGCGCACGATGTTCTCCTATCTCTGAGCTAGGATTCTGTTTCTATGTGACTACCGGACGTTTTGAAAATAGATAATATATATACATACATAGAACGATTCGAAGGTTGATTTTTGTCAGCAAAAAAAAAATAAATCTCTTGAAATAATTAAATTTTTAGCTATTATAAAAACCCATTTTTAAAAATTATAGTTGCTTTTTCTTTAATAATCTTGTAAAATAAAAATACAATGATAAAAAATAGTTGTCAAGTAAAAGTATAGTAAAATAAAAAAAAAAATGTATGGAGGGACTTGGGATATGAAGGGTGAAACGGGAGAATTGGAGACCTCGCAAATTAGCCGCAGGATTGGCCTCTTGATCCTTGAGGGACGCGAATCGTCAGTGATGTTAAAGGAAGAAGGCAAAGGGGTGGGGAGAAACAGGGGTAGTAGATGAGGTCGTATAAATGAACTTTGACCCCGCCTTCTTATTCTTTAATCCTACCCTGCTTGGCTGGCTATAA